GTTGACTGCATGCAAGAGTATGCTCTACATATGAACAATTTCTAAAACGAGGTAAATTAGGGACAAACAAGTTGATGAAAAAAGAATATTGTTATCATTTCGTAAGTTCTATGGTCGATACAAAGGCCTTGTCAGCAATTACAGTTTAACATTGATCGACTCAAATGCCGACTGACGTTTTTTATACTAATTGTTTGTCCATTGTTTATACAATGAATTGACGAGACGAAGGAATTTTTCGTTATTTCCCAATCATGACAAGGATAACACGACGGGTGTGACCGGTTGGCAGGGGATTCTTACTCTTCCATGACACCTGATCCCACCTCTGATGTTTCGGAGGTCTGTGTTTGCTCTGCTCCCATTTTGTATTGTTTAATGGACTTTTGATCTTGAATACTGTTAGTTATCTCCATATGTTTCATTTCCTAATTTAACAAGGTCATTAAAACGCCAATAAAATTAAGAAATATCGAATTAAAATGAGTTTGTTAAGCTCTTATAAATACATTAACTTATCACTTACTAGCATGTCTCGCTTTGAAAATTGATTGTATTCAGAACAAGCTCTTGTGTAGCAAATAAGATGGGAGACATAAAAACCATAAGCAACTGATAGTGGTATGTTACGATATAAATAAAGCTGACTATGGAAGAGCTGATGTCATATCGTTTGGCATACAATTTAGTTGTAAACTCCTTTTATCGTCTATAGTCAGTAAGACATCTTAAAATGAAACAGATGTGTCATACTCAGAGATGTCTTTTATTTCAAGCTTACTTCAGTTGGATAAACAGAAATAAAGATAAGTTCTTCCAATTAAAAAGAACATAATTTTTTAACAACTTAATCCAGATTGTTTCGTCTGTATGGTATATCTTTTTAATATGGTCAAAAACTTTAACTTTGGATGGGACAACAAATTGAATCAACCTTCCCATTTTCTGTATATTTCTTTATTACTGTGATATATTTTACAGTTGATAAGGTTGCACCATTTTCTCTAAAACTTTGAACTTCAATCACAAGGAAACAATGTATATAATTAACATTAACTGAATCGCTGTAGAGAGAAAATCAAAATGTTAACAATTAACTGTTCAGTTTATAACAATCACATAAAACATTATTAGAACCTTATGAAACCTGTTTTAAAAGAAAAATGACGAATAAGTCTAATATCGTTTTAAATATTGTTCTAATTCTTGTTATTGAATACATGTATATTGAAATTTTACTTTTATTCACTTCTTATAAAAATGAAGATCAAAAAGTAAATTCATAAAAAAAGAAAAACGCTATGATAACTTATAGTGGCATATCAAAAATCCTTTAAACTTTATAAACTGTAAATAGGGCATAAAATACTTACCCCTTGATGAAAAAAAAATTTAAATGTGTTCAGGTGCCAGGGAGGAATGAGGATCCTTTATTGACAAGATAGGTCATAACCATCTGTATTGATCAAGGTCAACAGATGAAACATATGGAGATAACGAACAGTATTCCAGATCAAAAGTCCATTAAACAATACAAAATAGGAGCAGAGCAAGTACGGACCTTCAAAACATCAGAGGTGGGATCAGGTGCCATGTAGAAGTCGATATCCCTTGCCGAAGTCAAAAGCCGTGTGCTCCTTGAATTTCAAATACATCTTTTGAAAAAATCCATTAATTAAAACAAAAATCAATAATTTATTTTGAACCACGTCAAGCAAGATATGGTATATCATAAATGCAAAAAAGGTCATTAATTACAAAATTATTCCGAAAAGCTCAATTTAAACAATGTCTTCAATATTTCTCTAGCATTTACGTACTTATCAATTGCCTAGGTCCAAAAAATGATAATATTTAGAGTACTAGTAAGCTCTTGTTGTTTGTGCTTCCCTCTGTCGAATGGATTCAGGATATATATGGGAAAAAATCCTTGAACAACTGGAATGTGTAAATTTAATAAGCCAGTAAAATTCAGTATGAAAGAACACCTACTGCGACAATATTGAATTAATGCAACAGAGGAACCGGTCTTTGCGTTACGGGAATAAAAACACGAAAACTAAGTATCAATTCATTAGTCCGTAACTCGAAAGCAATTCAAGACTTCAAAACACCTTGCCATGTAGCTTCTAATGATAACGAAACTACTAGTAACCTAGCTGCATCACTTAGATAATTAGTAATCTGTAGCTCTCCGAAAAAATATATATTGATAGACCAGAGACCTACAGAGCCACCCATTGAAAAAACTGTATATTTATTGCGCACAAAAAAATGCACTCGGTTCTCGATTTATTTCTCCATCTTTTGAAAGCTGTAATCTCAAAATATTACTAACCGTATGTTCCTAACATATTCTATGACTCTTTCCCACAGGCACTTGTTTCTGTAATAATTTTTTTACCCATAGTATAATAATAACACAAGGTATCTAACTCCGATTTACACCGAGTACCCCCTCTCCCTAGGAATCGCGCTCATTTACACTTTTAGAGGAAATGCACGGGTAAACTGTTTATACCTATGTCTTCTACGATAATTTATCTACACAACCAAATCTGACATGCTTGTCTTTATTTTCTTTTATCTCCGTAATCAGCGTCAAAACTCTGCTCGCCGAGTGGAAAGTAAAACTGTACCAAAGAATTGTATGTTATAGTCTCGGGCAAAGAATTAGACCTCGAATTTGATTGGCTAAAAATCTGTTTCTAAATTTACACCGGAAAACACCGGATAACGTTTTTATGGAAAATAAGACACTATGGAATTTTATTAATTCAATGCAATATTTAAAAACTGGGATTGAATTTTTAAACCCACGCATTCTTTAATTTTTCTCTTTGCCCGAGATCAGAACATACAATTCTATGGTACAGTTTTACTTCCCACTCGACGAGCAGAGTTTTGACGCTGATTACGGAGATAAAAGAAAATAAAGACAAGCATGCCAGATATGGTTGTGTAGATAAATTATCGTAGAAGACATAGGTATAAACAGTTTACCCGTGCATTTCCTCTAAAAGTGTAAATGAGCGCGATTCCTAGGGAGGGGGGTACTCGGTGTAAATCGGAGTTAGATACCTTGTGTTGTTATTATTATACTATGGGTAAAAAATTTATTACAGAAACAAGTGCCTGTGCTCTTTCCACAACAAAACATTCCTCATAATTGGTGTTAATAGTCCTCCTGGCCCTGATATTGCAATCATTGGACATTTCGCTTATTTATATTGCCATTTTGGTTTCAAAGATAATTCGGTCCAATATGCTTCGTTCAGATGTCAACTACGAGAGAACTTGATAGAGGAGAGAGTAATTTTTTGAAATCTTCCATTTTTTGCAATTGAGATAAGAATTTGGAAAAATTAATCAAGAATCAAGCGCACTTTTTTGTGCGCAATAAATATACAGTTTTTTCAATGGGTGGCATTGTAGCTCTCCGGTCTATCAATAAATTTTCGGAGAGCTACAGATCTGCAGCTACTAGTAACCTGGCAGTCAAAACACACTGAACAGATGAAAGTGAAAAAAATATTACTACATAAGGGAAAATGACGATTGAAAACCTGAAGTCACAGCTTTTTCATATTATTTAGTTGGTTTGCCATTACCGTCTATAGTCTCTTGAACATCCAAATAAGAAAAACAGCTGTGGATAACTCTGTGGTTTCTTTTTTTCCCGAGTTCATTTGTTTTATTTTCATCGAGACTGACAAATGAAACGTGGCCCATATATCTAAATTTAGGGGTTAATATAGCAAAATTTTCCTTTTTCACTTAGAACTTTAAATTTTGAATATAGGAATATAAAGAGATAAGTGTAAACAATCGAATGGAAATCAACCAATCCTAAGAGAAAAGCATAAATGTCCGAAGAAGTTACGTGTTAATTATTGCGATCTTTGTTTCAATAGCTATTTCGTTAAATCTTCTTTAAACCAGCATCTTTAAAAAAAAATCTTCGATCTTTATTGCTAATAGACAAGGTCTAAGTCTTGGTGATTTCTTTTCTGCTCTCTGTATTTTTTCTTTCCGATTTTATAATAAAGATACCCCTAATCACCAGTATCTTGGGAGTTGTCCTAATAAGCTATGTTAGGAAAGTTCTTCTCAGGCACTTTGTGTGCCACAAAGATTTAATGCTAAAAGAACTACCAGAGCGTTTTAGTCGCACTAGGCAGCGTAAAAATAGCCATTATATTACACTGTCTTAAAATGGATTAACCAAAAAAATAGCCAGTCTAGAATCTTTGAAATTGACACCAATATTAATATTTTTTCTTGATTTAAAAAAAAGGAACGTGCTTAAAATACCACAACTCTTAAAACTTTCTACAGAGTAAAACAAAAGTGTCCCAAAACATATGTTACACTTCTAATCATCAAAAATAAAAAAAAAAGCAAGAATAAGAAACATATTTGTATTTTATCAAAGACAGTTTAAGACATAATTTTCATCATTGTGAATTGTGTACAACATAAAATTTACCTAAATAGCTATTATACAATATATATTAGCATTTTCATTTTTATTTTTTATTTTTTGGGGAAAATTTTTAAAGAATTAATTATAATTATACATCAACAATTTCTACATTCCCCTTTGGACAGAAACTTTCATATTTTGCGAAATATTCATACGATCTTTTCTACCCATTTTCCTGATTTCACAAGGTTAAACGAGAGCGATATTTCAAACCACCAAATTCTGTCAAGAGCCTCCACGCTCGTGTTCCTGCACTTAAATATAATGATTAATTTGTACTCTAATTCAATTTAACCATCATTAATAGAGTTCCATAGGTCATCTTTTTTATTTCAATACAAAATTATCTTGAAACAAATCTCGTCAATCCTATTATGTGGTGTTACGTTTTATGATCACTGAATCCATTTGCTGCATCAACGTATCGATGAAATCGACATGTCTTTGATTGGTCAGTTTCCCGAACCCGACCAATATTTGTTCCGTTGTGACATCGTGAGTACGCTATTCCTCCGTATCCCACACAATGTCGTTCGACAAACCCACTACCGTTGTCTAATTGGATAAAAGTGTCAATGCGCTATGCTACCTAGAGTCTAGTTAACAACACCTTGTGAAACAAAGGGTAATATCCATTAGAATATTCAGCATACCCGTGATTGCACACAAGCTTCAATTATCGCACTGGGACATTGGTTTTACTGACTTTATGCAAAAGATGGAATATTGTAAAACTTTTCCACTAAATTTAACACAATTCTGCTTAGTTCTCCTCGCTTTAATGACTGTAAGCAATTGTTGCTTCATAAGAAATTGTCCGCCGGGCGGGAAAAGAAGTATGGATATTATATCAAGACCAGGAAAAGCGGTAAGTAAAATATGTATGTTTATTTTACTATGATGAGGAAAAAAGGTAAGTGAAAATAAGTATGGATATTACATTGTATATCACAATCAAGAAAAGTGGTATGCAGGGTTTTACAAACTGTACTCAAATCAACTTTAATTTATCACTATTTCATTTGATATGAAAAATATGATACAAATCAGTTCTCATATCAAATATATAAGAATACAGAAAAAGTTAACTTGACTCATAGTGGTTAGGATGAATAATGCAGAATAAAAAAATCATCAAAACAAAACAAAATCTCCATGTAAAACTAAAACATCAAAGACTGTCTGAGGGAAATCCCAATGCATTTCCTTGTTTGGGTGTGTTCCATGCCTTATCAAAGATCTCACGAGGATAAATCGTAACCTGTTACGAATGAGCTTTCAGTGCACTCGTAGAATGGATAAAAATCCAGTATTTGAAATTAGCATATTATCTGGTAAACAGATAGTACTGCAAAACCTGTAAGTTTAAATTTGGTCGATAAAAAGATTATTGACTCAGAAAAAACAATTAAGTCTCTCATTAGAGGAGATAAAAGATATTTTTCGAGAAAAAAAGAAATCTCTCCCACCTTAGTAATATATTTGATATGTGTTCAGTCCTTTATTCCCCTTTGACACCTTACGTAACTCTACAAAGTGAAAAAGGTAATGGTACGTTGAGACCCCCTTTTCAGACTTAACATTTACCTTCAAGGAACATTTAAAATCATCCTTAGAAAAAAACATCTATTAGCATTTGCTTAAAATCAGCTATATGTGTAATTAGAGACTAAAGAAGGCCTTAGAGGCTTAAGAAGATAAAACAAGTAAGTTTCCAAAGGCTGTGTTGAATCTGCATCACATACATTTACAATATAAACTTCTTTAAGCCACTCTAATTCATATTTAAACCAATTTGTAGAAAAAGTACCTGAAATAATTTGTAAAAGCATGCAACAAACCGATAAAAAAACAGAACACTAGTTCAAGGTGCGTATACTTAATTATTAACTAATTAATTGTGTAAAAAATAACGGAAGTCTGTAATTTTTTGCGATAATAATAATGAAATTCTGAGTTTCGTAATGGTCGTTTACTGGATTTTTGTCAAAATGACGTGAAACAGCGTCATAGAAAAATGGAAGTGTGTCGTAAATATAATCCATATTTATGCATCGTGGGAAGTCATAAAGAGGTCAAAACCTTAATTAAAATTTTTCAAAATTAACTTACTTAAGAAGTGATTATTTGAAGTTATCTTACTTTGTAGATGCAAAATATCAGGGATATTAAAGGGCTATTTTGAGGAACAAATATATTTTTAAAAAGTTAAATAACCAAATAATAATTTTAAAAAAATCTATATTTTGTTTTATGGTAGCTGATGCAAAATTAATTTTTAAAATTTTTTTTATTTAACAAAAACCTACTGAAACTTTTCAATTTTGTTGATATGACCTTTTTTCTCGTATTCTTTTACACTTTTTCAAATGGATAAAAAAGAAAGTGTAACATTAATAACACAGAGTTTCAAACATTATTTCTAAGGTTTTAATCTTGCTAATTTCATCCTTCAATAAAAGTTTTAAAAATCTTTGTACTCAAATTACATCATACTGAAAGAATCTAAAATTCTAAATTTTAATTCTCTACGGAAACATTCCGTTAAATTCCAACGATTAGTAAATATTGAAATTTGATAATTAAACAGTTATTTTCCACAGTAGGAACATATTTTATATCTAGCACTTAACAATATTCAAAATTACACGATGAATTCTTCACACATATTTTTTACGGTTACATCCTAACAAGCAACCGATGTGATGCCGTTTGCAAATTTCGTTAGAGATGAAATTTCAATGTAGAAGAACTCATAACTGTTTGCCAGTTAATTCAAGTATGTTTAATGGAAATAAACTAGAGGTACTGTGAGCGATGAGCTCACTAAATGATACCCCCCGCCTCCCATATGGTTATAACTGGTGAAAAAGTATGTTTTCCTGTGGCCGGGACACCCAAAATATGTGTCGGATCAAAAAGTAAAATAGGAGGTGCACAATGGCAATATGTCTAGTGCATACAGATGTTCCCCAAACGCTCCCCAACTCCCTTTTATAGTCATATTCCCTGTAAGCGTAATTAAATAAGACAAACTTTTTGCATTTGAGACTTTAACAACGTTTACCAAGCAGTGTACCATGTTCATTCAAATTTTATCATTGCACACTTGCGCATGTTAATGCATGTGCGTAATGACCATATCATCTTGTCTACACAATCTATATATTTTAATATGCTAAATTTTAATGTATTTAATCCAAAAGTATAAAAAAAAAACGCTCATTCAAGTGTATTTTTGATTTTACCCATTTCACGTGCACGCACGTGCATACATGAACATGGTGACCATACCTTCTTGTAGAAGTCCATTACATCTATCTGTTCTAAATCCAAACCCGTTTGATTGAAAACCAAGGAAGTTATAGCTGTTTAAAGTTTCAGCCAATCAGATTGCAGCGCACGTACATACACGTGTATGTATGTGCAGGGTGACTATACCTTCTTATAGAAGTCCATTATATATATCTTTGTTCCAAATACCAACCTGTTTGGTAGAAAACCAAGGGAGTTATAGCTGTTTAAAGTTTCAGTCAATCAGATTGCAGCATTCGTACACGCACGTGTATGCATGTGCATGGTGACCATACCTTCTTGTAGAAGTCCATTATATATATATCTATCTTCCAAATCCAATCCTGTTTGGTTGAAAATCAAGGGAGTTATAGCTATTCAAAATTTCAGCCAATCAGATTGCAGCGCACGTGCATGCACGTGATTTCATGATAATTGCTATAATTCATTTGGTAGGATATTCTAATGCATTGCTATGTTCAAAATTTCAAAGGATTTCGTCAAAAAACAAGAAAGATATTGAGACTTTAGTTTCAGCCAATCAGAGCGTAGCGCACGTGCATGCGCGTGAGATCTTGCCATATTGACCACGCCATCTTGTTTATACTACTAATACATCCTTACATTATGAGTTTCAAAACATTTCATCAAAAAATAGAAAAGTTACGCCAATATACATTATATTGGTCATTCACGTGTTGCACGTGCGCGCTTGCAAGCACGTGCGCGCAAAATGACCTTCATTCCGCAAATCTACATTACATGTCTACTGACCCTAAAAACATTTCACCTTAGCTGGATGTGTAGTTTACGAGATCATTCGCGGACAAAAAAGTGCCCAGGAAGAAGAAAAATAATAATAATAAGAAACAGAGTAAAAACAATATGTTCCCCAACTTCGTTTGGGGAACATAATAAAGATTCTGTGAAAGTTGCATCAAATTTCATTCAGTGGTATGAGAGGAGTTGCGGATAAGAGATGGGTACCCCAAAGCGTAACAGACGGACGGACGGACAGACGTACAGACGGACGGAATTAACGATTACTATATACCCTCCCGCTTTTTAAGCGGGGGGTATAATAAAGCGTTTGGATGTTAAACATTTGTGGTGTATATTACATTTCATTTTTTATGCTAAATAAGTTTTCACACGAGTTTCTTTATAAATCACTAACAATCTCTCTTAAGTACGTTTTATTAATAAAAGCTCATACTTTCCTAGAATAAAATAATTTCAATGAATACGGTTTTTAATGTCCCTGGCTAATTGTTCACATTGAAAATTTATGAGGAAAATATCATCTGAAAATTAAAGTAACGTAAAGCAGCTCGAGTATTTATGAGAGTTATACGTCCTGAAGATGCCAATTTCCGTGAACATTAAAGAACCGATTCCGATGTTCTTCCAGACCAGTTTGAAAGAACAGTGATTTTTTTTTTATCAATGAACATTACAGATTCTTCTCATATTCTCTAGAATCGCGAAGTAAGGGTTCGAATTCCACTGTGAAACGTGGAGACCGGTCCTTCAGACGAGACCGTTTAAACCGAGGCCCCGTGTCGCAGATAGTGCTGACAGGAAAAACATACCCCCTGATCAATGGCCCTAAGTGTCGAGTATAGGACAAAAAAATTTGCAGCTCTCCAACGGCAGGTGGTGGCGTCTCCATATAAGTGAAAAATTCTCGAGAGCGACGTTAAACAATACACAATCAATCAATCTTATATTTTTCTATGAACACTAAGCCTGTTTGTTTTACTCTAACGGTAGAACTGAATAATTTCTAGACAATTCAGTATAAAAATAATAAATCAAAAATTTGTCTTAAGCCCATTGGAATATATCAAATCGACGTGCGAAATGAAATTAATGAATGTTTCATCTGATAGTCATCTTTGATATCACTCGAATTGAAGGCAAAAGCTCTCGGATTCTTAAAATGTAGAATCCTAAAGCATGTCTGTAAACAAATAAGTGCCCTCCAGACTTCCAGCAGTTGGAGGACCTTGTTTCAAATGATTACGTAACTATGTCAATGAGAAACTCTTGATAATTACTGTGAAATGACTTATTTTGGTGTTGGAGGGGGGATTTTCCTTGTTTTCGAGAAATGATCTGGTCCATGAATTCATAATCAGCTATAAATGCATAATTTTTTTTAAAATTTCTTACACACGAAATCAAATACCTGCAAACCAATATATTTCACCACGAAAATTTGACCCTTCGAAAATATGACATTTTACAGTATTTTACTATCATCTTTAAAGTTCTTGTGTGTAGATTCAGAACAATGTTTTAGGTGGAAAAAAGGAACCTTTCTCTATTTTTGTTTTTCTTTTCAAAAGTCTTTTGTATGGAAGAATGAATGACCTCTGAATAGGTTGAGACCTAAACTTATTCTCAGGTACCACAAAATCTAAAATTCCAACTATGAATATTGTAACTAAAGGTTTTCAAAGATTGATAATTTTATAGCATAAAACGTAATTTTAAAAATCTTTGTTAAAAATGAAATATAGAGTTAGAGTTTCTTCAATAAAAATTTAACCATGATATTGTTATATCTTT